AACACAGGCTGACTAAGTCTGCTCACCTAAGAGTGCCAAGAGTCTAAGCAGGCAACAAGGAAGTGCAGGTGATCAGGTCATATGACCAAGGATGAGGTCATATGAGGTCATGCACAGCCATGCACAGCAGGTCACCTGACCATCCAATCCTTCCAGCAGGTTCCAGCACATGCCAAGGTATACCCGCTACTTCCATGTCATAAAGGCTTAGTCATGTCTCTTGACCAAGCAATGAGCTGGTGCCCTGACACAGAGCATCAAGATCCTTTGCCTTTCTCAGAACATGTGCCTCAGTGCTCAGGATCCAACAAGTGCTGCATTTGCAAGCTGGCTTCTTGAAGTAGGAAGTGGACATGCCTCCCATGCCAATGGAATGCTCAACCTTTGGGATGGAATCAAATGCAAGACTTCAGTGGACAGCCTGATCACATCACTATATCAAGACATCAAGAACCGTGAGCTTGGAGGACCAAATGGAGATGACTACTTCCTCAATCAAATGATTCTTGCTGCACACAACACAGATGTTGATGATCTCAATGCAGAAGTACTTGCACGCCATCCTGGAGAAGTCATCACCTTCCTCTCAGCAGATTCAGTTGTTCAGGAGCCAGGCATCAATGCACAGATGGAAATTCCAACTGAGTATCTTAATGCACTCAAAGTGCCTGGACGTCCCCTCAGCAAGTTGGAAATCAAGCCCAGGTGTCCACTTATGCTACTGTGGAATCTTGCACCAGCACAAGGCCTTTGTAATGGGACATGATGTTGACTCATTTGTTCAACAAATCAAGTTTTAGAAGTCCAACTCCTTGGAGGTGAACATCATGGTACAACAGCATTCATTCCATGCATCTCACTCACACCATCTGAGGACAATCTCAGCTTTGTCCTGAAGTGCCACCAGTTTCCTGTTTGACTTGCATTTGCAATGACAATCAACAAGGCTCAAGGACAGTCAGTCACAAATGTTGGTTTGGACTTACACATTCCTGTTTTCTCACATGGCCAATTATATGTTGCACTTTCACATTGTACATTGCCTTCTGCAATTAGAATACTCTTACTGCCTCAAGCACCAACTGTAGAGATGCATAGAGTCACTCAAAATGTTGTATATCCTGAAGTTCTTTCCAATATTTCTTAGATACCTGCTTTTCTATTTTTCTTTCTCCTGCAATTTCCTATTATGATTGAAATGTATGTAGATACAACAAATGTACCAAAAAACAATCCCAAGGCAATACATAGGGTCTTTCACATAACTATGCTGTGCAAAGCGAGTCGGGTTAACCTAGTAATATTGCATGTGCGCTTGCATGATTCCAGAATCAGATGCCCGTCAGTTGAGTTATGTAACAAGGCGCCCATACTCCCAGTCGCCTCCCTTGCCTTCTCTTGCCTTCTCTCATCTTCTCTTCTCTTGTCTTCTCTTCTGGGTATTGTCACGAAGTTCTATCGCATCTGTTTTGTTCTTTCATCCATCATGTCCCAACCGCGCTCTGTCCCCGCCAGCTTTGTCGCGACACAGAAAGAAATGTTTGCACAATGGTGCAACTTAGTTGCAGTCTCCAGTTCGGAGCTATGCACAAACGCCATGGAGTCCCCTCCCCGCACCCCCCCTGGAGATTTCTCGAACTACGGCGGCCTTGAAGGTCGCAGAGAGGTACAATGAATTCTGTCGCGGTCACCTTCCACACAGTTTGAAGACGGTAAGCACCAATAACCTTGACGCACCATTAGTATATTTATCTCAAACGTGCCTTAGGCGCCAACTCCTGACATGGTTTACGAGGGCGATAGCACAGCCCTACGAGAACGAACGAGTGCCTTGAACGAGTCCTGGTTCTCCCGCGACGACCCCTGTCGTGTCCTCCGAAATTTGGCGTTGTATGAACGTCTTTTGGAAAGCTTCTTGTCACAGCTGCATCTGGCGACATTCCGGCCAACAATCTGAACGAAGCGACAGTTCGACATCCCTTTGATCAGCTCATTGAGCTCTTCGAATCGCTAAACATGTCGTCAGATATGTGCATTACCCAAGCCTTGTGCGTCGTACCTCTCATGAGAATGTGTGCAACACTATTAACTTGCATAGGTACGAGGTGTCTATAGAGATATGTTCTCCTTTGGATGAATACGCAGATCCAACCCTGTTTGACAACGCACACATCGACATGCGCTGCCTATATTCAGCAAAAGGCGACGGGATGCTTGTTCTCCGTCCATCCACGCAAGCTGGACAGAATGTGATCGCAGCAAGCACAACTGCTGCATCTCCGCCCGACTCAGGAGAACTCTACTTTACTCATTCTTCGACAAATAACCAGAGCATACTCGTCATTCTACTCGCCGTCGAGTGGAAGTTGCATGATCCTGTTGCCAACGCAGCCCAAGCCGTGTTCACACTGGCAACGACCCAGAGACACTGGGCGGCTCTCGGAATACGAGACGAGGTCGCCTTTGCTCTCCTCGGCAATGCAACAGAACTTCGAGTCTTGGGACGTACACAGGACGATACCGGCGTGAGTTGCATTAAGCAGTGTCGCAGGACTGGCTTGCGAGTTCTGCATTAGATTATACACATCTTTCTGTGCGATGCACTGGATATGACATGGGTACCTCACTGGTGGAAGGCGTTTTTTTTCCTCAACAACTTAGAAGCGTGAGGTCGGGTGGAAGTCGAAAGGATTTTGCGCAACGTGCCGCGGGCTGACGACGACACGAGGACTGATGAAGAGAAAGCCACCTTCGCACTTCGACGAAGATGGCGGTTCGACAAATGGCGTCACCGTCGCCAGTCGCGACTTCAGTCCTCTGTTGATCGACCTTCCAGGAAGCGGAAAAGAAAGCATAATGAGGACGAAGATGACATCGGTGGTTCGGATGGAGGGAGTGATGGAGGGGATGACGGTGGGAATGGGGATGGAGGGGACGGTGGGGGTGGACCTCACGATCAAGCGCCCGGCAGGACATCAAGTCACAAACGCTCCCGAGGACAAGAGAGGGATGGACATTCGAGAGCGAGAAATACTCACCGTGGCGGTCTCCGTGTTGATAACGTCACGGACACATGCTCCTCTCTCCGATGACAATACCACCAAAGGAGTTATCCGCGACCGCGACAGTGATATCTGGTCGCCTCAAACTCCTCGACTGTTGACGGCTGAGGAATTTCTGCGATTTGCTTATGGTGGTGACGAAGACCACGACGACGAGGTCGACGATTCCACTTCTACCGACGATCAGGACAACAGTGCCCGAATGGAGCGAGTGTCGAACTGGCGATTGGAAGTCGCTGGGGATAGCGCGCACAAGGTGGGACTGCAGGATGTTACCCATCCCCGCTCCCGTCGCTCCCACCGTCGCAAACAAAGAAGAAGACACCGACCAAAAGTTGGAGAGAAACAGGGGGCAGGCGGGGTTAAGGGTACCACAATTCCCACGTAAGCATCAGTACAGTTTCGATTGAAACAAGTTGCAGGCAGCGTTTCCTTAGTACCTATATCGCCATGCGATACAACCAGCCATTTTTGTAAACATCATCACATGTATGTACCCTACGTTCCTGCGACACTCTGTTGTACAGTAGATATCTTTTTCTGCACTTGCGACTTTCGCCCCTTTGTCCATGCAAACAAGTAATAAGTAATTGCATTGTATGTTTCCAGCACAGTACATGGATGTGCCTTGTGTTACTTTCCGGACACGTCGCCCCACGCCTTTGGATTGAACTCCTCCCTCGGCGATGACCTGCCACGTCCTCGCCCTTAAGTATAGGATAGGCACAGAGATAATAGTCATGCTGACATTATACTGGAACATATCGATGCTATCAATGAACGACTGGAACTGAGCGCCGGAGGAGAGCAGGATCTCCTGGACGACGAAGGCGTCTTTCGTGCGGAGGCAGGCGAACTGTCCGGCACCGGCTGAGCACGAAAAGGCGGTTGGAGGAGAAGAGGAAGAACGCGGTGGCAAGGCTCAGGGAGTATGCGAAGCAGGAAGCGGAGGAGGCTAAGGAGGTCAACAAGGAGTGGAAGAAAGAGCACCGGGAGAGAAGGGCGAAAGATGGAAAGGGACGACAGGTGGAGATAGGAAGGTCCAAACGTCCTGCGGCGAGCGGAGTTAACGCTGTTCTCGTTAGATGAGCCGCAGATGGATGTACATGATTCCAGAATGGAAGGCTATGCTCATTGCCATGAAAAGATACTATACAGGGATAACCAACCGCCGGATGCACGGCAACAGGGCGGCTGTAGCAGGCATCTAGACGTCGACCCGAATACGCTGCAGCATCGGTATTATCGCGTCCCACTCCTCGATCGCCTTTCTCCCCATCAGCCAAACGGTTCAGAGTAGGAAACTCAAGACTTGCCTGTTGATACATCTCAATATTCCCGTCGGCAACCTTGCCCAGCATTTCTTTCATCTCGTCCTGCTTTGCAGCTTGGAAGATCGCCTGTTCCCGTAAGGTCTCGTCGTTGAACGCTTCGGAAAGGTCGTGTACTTTCTTGACTTCTGCTTGAAGCTGTCGTATCGTCAGCCACCTCGCGTCGCGTTCACACAACAGAGTCACACGCACGTCCTTAATCTTCGCATCAAGCTTCCTCATCCTCTCCACTCGGGCCCTATCGTCATCCAACCCCCTAAGGGCATCCACCCTCTCCCTCAAATACCCGCCCACGGCACCCAACCCACCAGGACGTGCGCCCGGATGACCTTCCCTAATTGCCGCCAATCGATCCCGCTCTTGCTGTGCGCTAGAGAGGTACTCGGAGGTGTCCTCCAGATCCAGCTGTTTCTGATCGCGGAGTTTGAGCAGGGCACGGGAGGCGGCAGTGTACGCTTGCAGGCTGTGGAGGTGCGAAAGGAAGGGGTCTTGTGTACGGTTCACCTGGGACGCGTCAGCGTTCCCCACGTAAAGGCAGTAGAGACTCACATTATGTTTGATCAAACTGGAGAACTCGAGTAATGTGTTCGCAAAGTGATTCAGCTGCTCTGTGATGCCACTTTCCAGGAATCCCAGCCCCTGCACTGCAACGGCAAGATCATGATAATCTGTCGCTAAGTCGGTCTGCCTCGTCCTGGCACGACTCCAGAGCCTATCCACGGCACCCGTCCCTTCCTCAAACCTGTCAATCCCTTCCTTCATCTCGACGAAGCGCTCGTCAGCTTTGCGAATCCGGGAAAAGGAGTTGACAAGAGTATCGGTGACGCTGTCGAAGAAGCTGGACTTGCCGTCAGGGTCGGGAGCATGAGCGACTGCTTGGTGCATCGATACCGACCATTCGGTGGAGCAGAGGAAGGAACGGAGAAGCGTGGAGCGGCTGAGGGTGGGGTTGTTCGATATCCGTTGGAGGAAGCGTTGAAGACTACCAGTCACAGAGAATGATCAACAAAATCATCATCGTCTCTGACGAATTCAGCACGCACTCTAGCCTCCTTTTCTCTACGAATGACGGGCTAAACCGATCGCCAGTCACGTACTCAGCACGGTGCTTGCTGGGCAACGGTGGCACGACACATGCAGCAAAGTCTTGACTCAAATGTTGCCACAAGAATACAAAGTCGTGGAATCGTCTGCGGACAACCGTCTGCTGCTGGGGAAAGAATGGGAAGTCAGTCTAGGTTTGCGTCAGTCTTGATGACTCTTATATTAATTGTGGACGCACCTGTGACTTGACAGCATAAGATATGTACATATCTTTCGTCCCCTCGAGTTCTTTAACCGGGTCTAACACCTGCACGACCAAGTACCCGTCCCATTTGGGCACGGTGGGATCCGCGTCATCGGCAGTATGTTCGTAGTCTGTTCTGAACCCAGGGCTGACGGCAGTCGTCGGCTTGAAGGTATGTGTAGATGAGAATCCTAGCTGTGCGTCTGCTTCTACACCTGGAGTATTATCCCAGTGAACAGATTGGAAGTCGGAGTCGGCCTCCATTGAAGCGGTCGAAATCGAAGAAGAGTACTTGAACCTTGAGATCGTACTCGAGGCAAAGCGCCTCCGTTTCGTCCCTAGTGTACTGCGGTAATTGTCCCTTACTACCTTGTCTAATCGACTCTTAACTCCCTCAAAACTGTCTGGTGCCCATCTCTGTTATCGAGTGCGACATGTCCATTTCGGACAGCGTTGAAGCGAGTTTGGTTGCGCAAGAGCCGATGAAGTTCAAAGAATGGTGCCGCCTTGCTGGAGTTTAGCTACACTACACAGACACAGATCTGAGAGGTGCAATATCTGGTATTCTGAACTCAGAGCAGGTTCGCACTTCTGATGCACCAAATGTCTCTACAAAACATGAGGACACCACCCAGGCCACTGCCAACAAAAACATGTCCCCACCTATGGTCCGGCATTCCGTCCCACTTAACAACCGCATCCGGGAGGGACTAGAACAGATCTCTTCGCTAGGGGAGAAGGTAAAGGGAAGATACCACGAACTTTGCAAATGCAGTCTGCCCCGTGGCCTGAAGACCGTAAGCCTGAACAATCATAATGTTCCCCCGTGTCCCCGTCACCTGCGGCCCAGGAAACAATTCCAGACAGGAACGGATACGATGGATACAATTCAACCGCGCTTCGTGAAAAAACGCGAACGTTGGACGATTCCTGGTTCTCTGATGACGACCCTTGTTGTGTCTACAAGAGACTAGTAGTTCTGAAGCGTGTTTTTGGAAAATTTTCCAGAACAGCTGGTTTGGCATTTGTGGGAGGGATAAACAAGTCCACTCCTCGGTTGCAGTGGGACGCCCTGATAGGAGCCATTGAATTCTCATCCGATTCTGCTAATGAACCTTCAACAGCTCTCTGGTTTGCTATACCTCTTGTGGCAAGAGTTTTCCATGCTAATTCTTTGCACAGGACTGAGACGATGATCGAGATGTGTCGTCCACACAACACAGATGATGAACCGTCTCTGTTGAACAGTGCAGGTGTTGAAAAAGGGTGCCTCCCTATCGCAAGAAGCGATGCTATGCTTGTCTACAAAGCATCCAGGTCTGTTGAGATGATGCTGTCTCTGGCAACCACCACCGCCTCTGCGATGGAGAGGGACGAGCTTGAGTTCCGTCATCTCACTAAACGGGAGAGATTGGCCGTCATTATACTGGCCCTTGAATTCAAGCTCCCCAATGTTGTCTCCAATGCTGCTCAAGCTGTCTTCATGCTTAGCACGATGCAGCGACATTTGGGTGCATTAGGGATCAAGGACCAGGTTTGCTTCGCCATCATTGGCGATGTTTCGCGCATCCTAGTCTTGGGTTGTAGACAGGACGAGCATAGTGTGAGTCAAATTGGACATCGCCGCACCACTCGCTTACTGGCCCCATCAGATCATACACGTTTTCCTATGCGATGCCCTGGACATGCTGCAAGTGAAGCACTGGTGGACGACTTACTTCTTTCTTTTCAACCTGGAAGCATGGGGTCGAGTGGAGCTCGAAGAAATGCTGCTCACGATGTTCAATGATACCGAAACCAAAAACGGCGACGGTTCTTTTCGCCTTCCTAAGGAAACATGGCGATTTGGACATTGGACACACACGCGAAGGCCTTCTTCTCGATCACATTCAAAGAAGCGCAAAAGAGATGGAAATGACAAAGGAGGGTTCGATGGACGGGATGAAAACGAGGACAACCTCACAGTCAATGGTGTCGTCGACAACAGCAGGGACATCAGCCTTCGTACTCCCCGGTATTTGACAACTGCCGAAGTCCTTCGATTTGAACTTGGTTGCGTCGATGCAGATGATGGCAGCTCTGCGGACGAGACAGTCGATGTTCCGATTGCAAGAAAGGACTGTGCAAATCCGATGGACAGAGTGTTGAATTGGCGACAAGATGTCACATAGGGTTAAATCGTGGTTTCCTCTACTCACCTGATACTCATATTTGTACTTAGTGGTATAATGTATTCCTGCCCTGCCTTCTGTACAGAGATGGGAAATAATGAGAAGAGCTGAATAGAATTAATCTAATTAAGAGCGAAGAGGACAAGTGAAAAGGCCACCAGTATACCCAAGATGCTTAGTCTCTGAATCGCGCAGTCACAGGAGCGGAAGCAATGCTAACCCTACTTCCTTAATATGGAAGGTCCACCCTGTGTATATACGGTGATTCTCTTGGCAGTGCATTCGTTACTTCTTCTTCTTACTCTACACTTGTTCAATATCCACCAGAAATGCGAAAATTACTTCTCTCATTTGGGCTACTGGCGGCGGTGGTGAAGGGGGCATGGGCATATATCGAGCCTATAAGCGATACGGACGACCTGCACCAGGTGTGCTCAGGCATGTGGGCTGGCGGTGATGCGCATATACAAGGTGTGTTGTCACTCATCAGCATCAGTACTTACCGACAAGGAATTTCTTATAGCATCATTCGACCCCGGATCGCATGGACAGCTCGCGATGGTCATCTACGAATGGGGAGATATTGGCTACTTAGGAAAGATCACCTCCCCAAACGACCCATCCCTTCCAGTAGGCCCCGTAGTCTCTCGTGTTATCAAACTAACACCCATACTCAGAAAACCTATGTATGCACATCCGACGCCGTCAATGCTGGATTTTGTGCTACTCAAAATCTTGGCGAGTTCATCGTCAACCTTCCATCTGGGATGTCCATCAATCAGACAAGCGTGTGGACTGCAAGCCTCTACTTCTCCAATAGCACCAGAGGTGCGATACCTTCATCGCCGAACGAAGGCGCGCAGCCGAACAAAACTTCATCGGATTTGTGGATTCCACCGGACGGGAGCCTGCCCAAGATCCCATCCGGGGACACGGAGCATTCTTCCCCCTTCCGCAGCAGGGCCGTCTTGAACCAGGAGAGGGGATTGGAGAGCAGACAGAATCGGATACGCTATACTCAACCTATCCAGTATCCTATCAAGCGCAAAGGGTACTATTGTGTCGGTGCGTCGTCTCTGTTCTGGTCCCTGCAGCTTACTTGACCCACGTTCGTACAGGTACGATACCTATCACTCTCATAACCAACCCCAGCACGCCGAAAACAGCAGACCATGCCAATTTCACGGGAACAGTCCTATTTGCGAACGTCTTCTCCGGTCTTCTCCCTGCCTCCGAGTATCCCAAGATCTGGTTTTACCTCGCCATGACCTGGGCATATACGTTTGTCGGGGCTATTTGGGGCTGGCTGTGTTATAAGCACAGGCAGGACTTGCTCGCCCTGCAGTACTATATTGCGAGCTTGATCGGTCTTCTGGTCATCGAAATGCTAGCTTCGTGGGGTGAGTCTCCTTACGGTTCGGTTGCGCTAGGCTAATGTACGCGAGCAGGTTATTACCGTTACCTGAATGCACACACATCAGGAATAACAAGTACGGCTTTCCTCATCGTCGTTGCCATCCTCGACGCGGGCAGGAACTCGCTTTCTTTTTTCCTGCTGCTCGTCGTCTCCTTGGGTCTGACCGTGACGCGAGAGAGTCTCGGCAAGCTGATGTTGCGCGCTGTCATCCTCGGTAGTCTGCACTTCGTTTTCGGAGGTGCGCACCCTCCACCCCATACTTACGCACCCTGCTGACCACGTGTTGCAGTCGTCTACGCCGTCGGCACAGTAGAAGTTACACTCGAGACCGCATCTATCTTTCTCCTCCTAACATTCGTTGTTCCTCTCGCTTTTACACTAAGTATATTCCTCCTCTGGATCATGTACGCCCTCAACGGGACAATCCAAGAGCTCGCCTCTCGCAAACAGCGATACAAACTCAGCATGTTCACTCGTCTTTACCGAATCCTCCTTGGAGCAGTGGTTATAATGGCCATATTCTTTGTCGTTTCCAGCCTGTCGTTCTCGAACCGCCTAGCGGAGGATTATGCGAGCAACTCATGGAGCACCCGCTGGCTGCTCCTGGACGGATGGCTCGCACTATTGTATCTTACCGTTTTCTGCCTCATCGCCTATATCTGGAGGCCGACGGACAACAACAGATAGTGCGTTTCTTCCTCACCCCTCCCGACAAAGCTGACCTCCAATAGCCTAGCAAACGTTGACGAGATAGCGCAAGACGCCGATGATTACGATCTCGAGGGACTCGAGCGCAATGGGCACGTCAAGCCCTCCGACTCTACAGACAACCTCGGACACCCAGAGTCGCCAGGCACGGCGCAGGACGTGGTATTTGAGATTGGGGAAGAGGAGGATGAGGACGAGCGGACCGGGGGGCTGAGGAGCGGGCCGGCGAGGGTAAGAACGGAGGTTGACGAAAGGGCACAGGGAGGGGAAGAGGCACAGGGACTTATGGGTGCAAGAGGTAAGGACGATTAGTCGTTGGATTTACGCAGAAGGTCGGGCATTCTTGACCCAGCATATGGATGAGGGAAGGGAGGTGTGCGATGTTTATGCCCTAGGAGAGGACTTTGGCAATCTGGGAATCTAATCCTTCCATCTCTCCCAAGACACGTTGGCACGTCAAGCATGGGCAGGTTAGGTATACTGATACGTTTGATAACAACTGATATCCAAAATAACATGATAGAGGAAGATCCAGTCCATAAGATGCTTCAGAATAAAACAAGCTCTCCCTTCCAGGGCACGAGCCATCCAAGGCGATTCCACCAAAACAATCCAATGCAAAGTCATCTACTTTTTCCAATTCCCTTTAACGAACTCCCGCACATCTGCGACGAGCGTTTCGGGTTGCTCGAAGCCCACAAAGTGTCCTCCAGCATCGTGTTCTGTCCCATCGTCAGATCCGGGCGGACAATGAGGTATAAGAGGGAGCACCTTTGTAGAATGCGATATTCAATTTTCCCGTTACCCAGCTCCGAGGTGCACCACTAGAAACCAGGATATCAGCACAACCCTCTGTCAACAACCGGTCCGCCTCACAGCACATCATGCTTAAACACACTGACCGCGCTCTTGCTCCCCTTGCCCTGCTTCGGCAAGCGCATAAACGCGTCCTTGGTCTCGAAATACGGGAGCACGCTCGTCCCGAACGTCTGGGTCAGGAAGTAGAGCGAAATGGTACTGACGATCTCGGCGTCGCTGATAGGCTTGTTGGGGTCGGACCAGGAATGATATTTTTCTCCTATGTAGGCAAGCAGCCCCACTGGATGGTCGTTCAGTGCGTAGCCGATTGTTGCGGGCTGGTGAAGGGTCAGCCTGGTCCAGCAGAGAGATGAGAATTGGGGAGAGAAGTACCTTCGACCCCTGGATAGATATATACCCCATGCCCGAATCCCTAAACTGCACCTGCTTCGCCAAGCTATCCATCTCCCTCTCGCTCAGAATGAGTCCGCACACCCTTCGCCCAACCCACTTGGGCAGTGCGAAGAGGGCGATGAGGAAGGGCCACTGGTATGCCGGGGGAGGGAACTCGAGGAGGATGTTGAAGTGCCTAAAGGGGGGTTAGGGAGGATGGTGCAAGAGGACAGGGAGGGACGAACGCCAGCCGACAGTGGTCGCTGTGGTTCGCTGTGAGGGCACGGGTGACGCAGTATCCCTATCCATGTGTATTCAGCAGACATGCGATGGTCCAGAGGTGATGGACTCACCCAGTCCCCGCCTTGGGCGACGTACTCCTTATGCCCGAGCACATCAACCATGAGCGTGTTGAACACCCGCGCGCTGTCGATGAGCGTCCACCCCTTCCTCGGCGGTGGGCCCGAGAATCCATACCCCGGTAGTGAGGGGAGGACGATGTGGAACCTGTTCGCCCCATATCCTCATCAGCCGCATGTCCTCTTCTTCGAGAAGGTAAGTGCACGCACACAGGATCGGCCTCTGAGGTGGGGGATGTAAGCGGGCCGACGACCTTGTGGAACTCGTAGAAGCTGCCAGGCCAGCCGTGGGTCATGAGCAGGGGGATGGCGCCCTCCTTTCCACTCTTGATATGCACATAATGCACGTCGTTCTGCTCGATCTCGACCGTGTAGTGTTCCCACCTGCGGGCACCATGAGCACTCAACGGGGTTTGCAGATGCAGAGAGGGGAAAGAACGCACTGGGAGATCTCTGCCAGGAAGTCGTCAAACGACCAACTGTCGAGCCAAAAGTCCCTCAGCTCCTTCAGCCTCGTCAAAGGAATCCCATAATCCCAGTCAGCACCAGGAACGATATTCGATTCTGGAAGACGAGAGCCACGTATGAGGGAGAACATACGTTCTACCTCGGCTTTTGGGAGTCTGGAGGCGGGGTCGAGGGGTTTGGGAACAATCTTGCGAGAGTGGGAGGACATGTTGATTGCGAGGGGGTATAGAAGAGGAGATGGGGGCGAGGAGGGACGTAATAGTCACCAGACAAGTCCTTTTATTGATGAGGTCGAGGAGAAGTTCGGCGCAGTCAATCAATACAAGCGCCCATGGCCGACGCCGCTGGCCCGATGGGCTAATACCGGACGCCGACCTTCAATGAAGGACCATGTGGATAATTTCAAGGATTTGTTTGTCCGAAATGTCATTGGAAAAAGGGAGTAGGAATACAAGGCAGTCTGAGCCGTACAATCTACTTCTCTATCTGATATTGGGCACTGACATTGTTGCTGATATGCTATTGATTATAGTGAGGCGATGCTAGTTGCTACTGATGCGATGCTATCTGTTACAAATGAGATGAAGTCTACTATACATGTCTATAGCCCGTCGCTGCTACAACGGCGCCGGCGCCGACTTCGAGCACCTCGCGAAAGTCGATCGCAACCCATGCTCTCAGTTCACCGCCTGCTCGGACAAGCCCTCACGGCATCCTCGTACTCCGGGGGAGCGTCGCCCTGTAAGATCACTCTCATCCCTTTCCTGCCTAGCCGGGGCGGGGTAGCCACAGCCTGCCCGTAGCTCGGGAGACCTTCTTCAGTCTGGAGACGGACGACGGGGGGGCTGTTGTAGGGAGAACGGGGTTGAGAGAGGGGGGAGAGCTCGGAGGCGGTCCAGAGACCGTAGTACTCTTCTTCTGGTTCTTGTGACTCTGGAGGGGCGTCTTGCCTGTGGGCCCGAGTCTCCGCTGAGGAGGAGGAGGAGTGGTCGGGCTCTGGGGATGTGGGTGTAGTGGGTGGTGATTCTACGGGGAAGAGGTTGACGAGTGCGTTACTGGTGGCTGTTTGGGGTCAGTACTCTCTCTTACTCTCTTCGAGATTGTGCTCACCGATTGTGACCATGGATATGACCATTAATGATACGGTTGCGATGAGCGGCATCCTATTCGGGGTATACTTTGGGGGAGGAGAGGGAGGGGAAGGCGTTATGTGGTGATAGTCTGCCATGGATATGAATATTAATACGTTATAGTAATGATATTGAAAACTGTAGTGAAATGACTGATGCTGTTGCAGACAGACCGGTGCACCCCCTCTTGGTATTAATACTGTGCACAATATTTATATGAACGGACCGGGCAGTGATCGATCGGTTGCGGACGTCCGGACAAAGGCCGAGAAGAGAATTCATTCGTTGTTTTAAGGGCATTTGCGCTTCACACAGATTGCGAAATGCCCAGACTGGATAAGGCCAAGAATTGCACCGCTCGTCTCAGTACTTGGGAATGGGGTGACCGATATGTGATATGCGGTGAGGAATGAACTTTGTGGCAGTGGGACATAGGCGGTGATCAGGAGAAAGAGATGAAACGCGAGAGATGTACCAGACGCAGGGGAATCGGTTACCGACTTTGCGTGTCAGTTGGAGAAGTGCCTCGAATAGAATATGATTGGAAGAGAGAAGTTATGGCTTGAAGGGGATGAAGAAGAGAAGTTGTTAGACTGACGGGAGGGAGAAGAGAAGTTGTTAAATAAACAAAGGACAATAGCAAATATTTTCTTTTCATGTTGAATTGCCTGTTATAGTCGTGTGCCATAATTGGACTGCACGTGATATGGCTGACCCTGAAATGACGGTTGTTCTCCTCGAGTCACCACTTCATCCCATCACCGTCACCGTCTACAATGCCCCGTCGCAAGCCAACGTCGACAACGGCCAAGAAGGCAGCACAAAAACTCAAGCGAGCTGTAAAGAGGGGCGACGTATCCCCTCCCCCTCCAGCACCTCAACATCGTCGACCCCGACCTGGACCTTCAGCAAGGGACCGCGAGTCTGGCAGACAGGAGCAAGCGAGGAGGGACGACACCGTGACCGCTGTCAAGAAATTAGAGAGCAGGTTCTTGAAGCCTTCCAAGAGCTACCTGCTGCTCAGTGCGGAAAGAGCGAGTAGCGTCCCCCTTCGCAGGCCGATTCCGAGGCAGGCAGCGATCTTCCCCTTCGAACTGGTCGACCATACGCATGACCAGAGTGGGGCAGGAGAGCTCGTATGCCCTCGAAGACCGAAATGGAGGTATGAGATGACGAAGAAGGAGGTGGAGAGGAACGAGGAGGGCGTGTTTGCCAAGTGGAGGGAGGAGACAGAGGGGAGGATGAGGAGCTGGATGGAGCGAGAAAGGGAGAAGGAGAAGCTGCACGGAGAGACTGAATGGGGATCTGGTGGAGGACCAAGTTATTACGAATGGAACCTCGAGGTCTGGAGGCAGCTGTGCGTCTTTCCTTGCTCTAATGCTCTCTGCTGACGAAACGTACATACAGATGGCGTGTAACGGAACTCTCCGACATCCTCCTCGTCCTCCTCGACGCTCGTTGTCCGCCAGTGCACTACCCTCCCTCCCTGCGCGCCTACCTCAACTCTCTGCGCCCAGCACGCAAGCTCATTCTCGTCCTTACAAAAGTCGACGTCGTTGGTCACGCACGGGCCGAACAGTGGGCCAATTGGCTGAAAGAGAACTACGGCAAGGACGGGATGCGGGTCGTCATGGTCGAGGCTTACAGGGTCAAGCATGCCTCGACTGATGATCCCGATGTCAAGCGTGGGAAGAGGACGAGAGTGGAGCCTTTCCTCCCTGGGCAGTTCCGTTCTCAGCTCACACGCGTCCTGCGCGAGGCACACGAGGAACTGTGTACCCCTCCGCCGCATATTGCCGCTGATCCGGAGAAAACCAGCGCTTGGAAATGTAGTGTCAAGAAGGAGGTGGACTGGGAGGCACTGGAACGTGGGTTAGGGGAAGGGAAAGAGGTGCATATAACTGAAAGGGAGAGAGAACGGCCCCCACCTGAGGGCGAGCGGGTGGAGGACGCCCCCGAGTTCCTCACAGTCGGCTTGATTGGTATGCCACCCTCCCCCCAACCTATGCGCACTGCGCTAACACACTTCAGGCCAGCCAAATGTTGGAAAGTCCTCCCTCCTGAACGCGCTCTTCGGCCGTACGCGCGTCCGCGCCTCCCGCACCCCGGGCAAAACGAAGCATTTCCAAACGCTCTTCCTCTCCCCTCAGATCAGGCTCGTCGACTGCCCAGGCCTCGTACTCCCTAGCTATACGCATCTGGAGATGCAGGCCCTAACGGGGGTGCTGAGGATCGCCGAGCTCCCTGGGCTGAGGAGCTGTGTGCGCTTCGCTGGGGGACTTATCCCTCTGGAGAAGGTGTTGCATCTTCGACCGCCGGAGAGTATGAGGGAGAAACGCGAGTTACAGGCGAAGCGCACGTGGAGGGATGACGGGGCGGAAAGGGCGGTTAGCCCTGGGGAGGGAGGTGAAGTGGAGGAATGGACTGCAGTCCAGATATTGGAGGCTTATGCGGAGGAGAAAGGGTTCATGACTGCCAAAGCTGGGAGGTTGGACGTGAACCGGGCTGGGAATACCAGTACGTCTATTCGATTCTTTGTCCGCTATCCTGCTTTGTTCCTTTGCATTGGAGATGGAAACTGATTCACTCAATAGTCATGCGAGCTTTGTCGGAGGGGAGGATCCCGTGGGGGTTCGTACCGCCTGGGACGGACGTCTCTTCGATCCCAGAGGGCGTAGGGATCTGGCTCGGTGGGGGACAAGAGGGAGAGGAGGAGGGGATGGAGTCGGAGCAGGAGAGTGAAGAGGAGAGCGAGGAGGCGGACGAGGAGAGTGATGAGGAGGAGGAGGAGGAGGAGGAAGAGGAAGAAGAAGAGCATTCGGTGGAGCATGTGAAGCATGCTATGAGAGGCTTGACTGTTGGAGGAGGTTTCGCCGCTCTTGCTGCGGGGGATGCTGGATCAGAGGAGGAGGAAGAGAGCGAGGACGAGGAGTAACAACAAGTGTTGAGAGGCATGGAAGATCGGTCTGGTGCGGACAATCGTTATTCTTGCAAACTTGTAAAAAAAAGACTCAATAACAGTTCGGTCAGCATTGTCCACTTGTGTTTGACATGCAACTTGTTTACCGCGTGTGTCGTTATTGGTACGTGAGGTGCTCATGGACTCGGAGGACATGTTGCTAAACCATCACATCCCATGACTTGCACGTAATAAAAACTATATAACGTTACTATTTCTTGATCTCATATTTGTATGATTAATTCACTCCAAATTGAATGAATTCTACCATCGATGGTAAAGAAAAGTCGGGGATGAGAGGATCGCTGGTAATGATCGGGGGCCTCCATTCTTCCTCGAATTCGAACACAATGCGCAACATCTATTTAGACTCTCCTCGAGCTACGCTTTACTATTCCCTCCTTCCTCCTGTCCATAATCACTCCAACACTACTCTAAGTACACCATGTCCACCCCAGTACCAAAGCGGTTGGATCCCGCCTCCCGACTTCCAACGTCAGAAGTAGAACGCATGTTCTCTCTTCTCCGCAACACCCGTTTGCCAGAGAAGGACATCGTTCCCGGAGCGGGGGAAACATGGGACTACGGAATGCCCCTTGCGAGACTTGAGGAGCTGAAGGAATACTGGTTGGAGACGTGGAAATTTGACGAGTTCTTGGCTGATATTTCTCGGTATGTTCGTTATTGTATTCTCACGAGCTACCGTATTGTAGTTGATGCCACGCTAGGTGGGAACACTATACGGTAGAGATTGAAGGCATTGACGTGCATTATATACACGTCAAGAGCGGGAAAGAGGGCGCCATTCCTCTGCTCATGACACACGGATGGCCAGGCAGCTTCTACGAGTTCCACAAAGTGATGGAGCCTCTGAGCTCGCCCTCTTCGCCCGGCGACCCATTGTGCGCTCTTCTCTCTTCTTGCATTCGCACGTTTGACAAGAAAGAAGGTTCGACCTCGTCGTCCCCTCCCTACCGGGGTACGGCTTCTCAGCTCCTCCAACTCGTAAGGGCTGGACGCTGGTAGACACCGCCCGGGTGTTCAACAGTCTCATGGTGGACGTTCTCGGATACAAGGAGTACGCAGCTCAAGGAGGGGACTGGGTGCGTTCGTTTGCTGTCATGCGGGCGACGACTCATTGGATTGGTAGGGATGGGTCGTTACTCGGGCGTTGACGGCATACCACAGTGATCACTGTGTGCTTGCGTACGTCCTTCCCCAGCACCTATGGCCTGAATTGCTGACATGGCTGCAGGCACTTCAACAACATCGTCGAATACCCCCCAGTCTACCAGTACCCGTTCCTGGTAGCGATGCAGCTCCTCCCCAAATGGGCGGGACGCAGTGTCGGCGGGTGGGTCATGAGCGGATCGGAGATGGACGCATTGGAGAATCACCAGAAGTTCCGGACAATTGGGTCGGGGTACTATGACCTCCAGCGGACGAAGGTACGTCTTCCCATGCTTCATCCCGCAGTGCGTTCAATCAGTCGTGACACGATGTTAACCTCCTCAGTAGCCCACCACGATCGGCTACGCCCTTGTAGACCACCCGCTCGGGCTCCTAGCCTACATGGGAGAGAAATACCACGGCTGGGTTGATCGTTCCTCTGCGCTGAGCGACGCGGATATCATCACCACCATGTCGCTGTACTTCATCACCCGGACGTTCGCGACTAGCGTATTGACGTATTACGAGACTCCGTATGCGCTATTCATGACCCAACCTCGACAGAAGCAGGGGAAGACGGCGATAAGCCTGTTTTCTCATGATGTGCTAGGCGCGCCCAGGAGCTGGGTACAGAGAGTGCTCAACGTCGTGTCCTATAGAGGTTAGTTCCCTAGCTCTACGGCTAAACCGTACTGATAACACGTACAGAGCATGAGAAAGGAGGGCATTTCGCAGCGCTCGAAGTGCCCGATATAATTATGACAGATGTGCGGGAGTTTGTAAAAGGGAACTGGAAGAAATAGGTTGTCCATCCGGCCTGAAATATCTTCCACAATAACTGCTTATATTATACCATTTCGTCTTTTGTTTCGTGGATCGATCCAATCTCTGAATATCCTTGTGTGATTCCAGTTGTTGATGTGGTTTTTGATTTGGCGAAGGAGTCCATTTTCGTGGGGCTTGAAGTGCCTTGGTGGCCTATGGGAGGAAGTTTAACACGAGAAGTAGGTCGGTGTGAGTGATCCTGGAATGTGTTCCGGATACGATTGTTTGCCATACCATTTCTGTTCCATGGACTTGAGATCGTCTACAGTCGTGCACTGATCATGCAAGATAACGCCCAAAGACCTGCCAGTCGTGTAGAATGGATCATCCTCCCATCAGCGTATCATTCCAGTCATTATTGATCATAATGAGTTGGGAAACAAAACACTTTGTCAAGCAAGAGTGTGATCAAACTCTGGAAGAGCCGCGACTGAGTGGTACAAGACACCACCGATGTAGTTATGATTCGCAATGAAATGCGTCAACAGAGGTGAATTTCAATTGCAGACTAATACCCCACCAAGAATATTAACGGCCAGCACATGCTCCAGTTCTACGGAGCCTTCTCTCCGTCCAGTCAGGAGCGAGTGCCATGGCGATGCCCCTTGGCCGATCATCCCGGTGTTCCTTACAACTCAACGCCTTCTTTCAATGAGCTGCAGGGTGTGATTCGATCTATTGAATAGAATGCACTGTGGAATGTTGCGGTTAGGTAAGAATGTGCGGGGAGTGACCCGGACGGCATGAAGGGACATGTAAGATGGATCATATGGCTCGGTCAGTTTCGACTCTTCTGTAACAAACACAGCCAGTACTTAAACGATGGATCATAATCACTCCTTGTTCTCGACGTCGACCAAGTACTTCAGTGCCAATCGCTGTTATATCACTCGTTAAACACTCAGGAAGTCGCTCTTTCAACAGTCGCTCATTGATTCATCCTACAACTCACAGGCAACATGTTAACGTTCCCAACACTCTTTACCACACTCCTCATCTTTCAAGTCGCCGCCTTCCCCCTCTCTCCACGCATTGGTACGCATCCTGCTCAACCAGAATAGGCCCACTCTGACCACCCGGTAGCACTCAACATCCAATCACCACAATCACCCCAACTGCCGTCCTTCGACCCTCCCTCATGCTCGCACGGGCAGATGGCATGCTCAGCCCCAAGCACAGGCTTCCGAATGCAAGGCTGGGAATGCGTTAGCGTCCTGTTCAATCCAAACAGCTGTGAGCCCCCTCCCCCCCCTCGGTCTGACAACTCCCTGACATGCGCAGGTGGCGGGTGTCCAATGCCTTTGGATATTGGCGAAGAGCCCGGAGTGGACTGTTCCGCTCTACCCGGGGCTGAGGAGGTCGAGTGCGCACAGGGGAGATGTGCGGTCTTGACGTGCCGGAACGGGTGGGAACTCATGGAAGAGGGAAGGGAATGTCGGACGAGTGCGTGATACCCCCCCTTGCGGCCGTTGGTGGAAGACATGGTGGAAGTAATGGTGAGAGGAGGGAGTGGTCTGACGGCCGTTAATCATTAGGCGTATGCCACGGTACAGAGGAATTTGGAAGGATTACACTGTACGTTCTACATACTTGTAGATTACTGACATACCCTGCATTCAAGATACCGCTTTGGCTGCTGGCTGGCCATAAACTTATTTAATTTTGTAGTATTCTGCAATGACAATGCGGCGCACTCTCATTCATTCATTGTTCATTGTTCATGCTCATCAAATGGGACAGACAGTGTTCACATTGCCTAACAGGTATTTTACATGTTTACTTACAGACATGACCTCCCACTCGATATGGGGGGGAACGCGCTTTGCGCATGATACACGACACGATACGAGAATTGTTTTTGCACTTACCTATTTTGTGGTTGTTTTCGAAAGGAGAAAAAATCAGATAGCACTGGATCCCCACCTGCCTGGCATGGTGGCAGATTCCTCTTCGGAGCCGTGCCCGTTCGCGCGGAGGACACGTTCCACAACGGCGGTGACGAGCTTCTCTTCATATTCTTCCATCGTCACCGTGCCCCGTGGTTCAGCTTCAATGGCGTCGTTGATGTAGCCGACGAGATGAGAAGGGTGGTCGGTGAAGCCCATCTGCATGTCGCGTAAGCAACAATTCGTAAAAAGTAGGGAGGGAACGTACCTCGATAAGACGGGCCTTGAGCCTCAACCTGAGAGGCAACGTCCTTTCTGTGCTTGGGCCTGCAGCGGCATTACTTTCCAGCCCGCGGACGCTGGTCCCTCTCCTCATGCGGGGCCCGAATCCCCGAGGCGCAGCAGCATGAAGGTCGGCAACGCTGGAGCTCCTGCCCAGTCCAGCACCGGTAGCAAAGTCCGAGGATGGGAAAGGGGGGATCGCATGTTCTTCATCGGCGAACCGCGTGCTCTTGGTAATGCTTATCCCCGGGATGGTCTTGCTGCGCATGAGAGGTACGGCAGGCACAGAAGGGATGGAAACAGGAACTGGAGCTGGGGGAACGGGCATCGAAGTCGTAGGAGGTGGGACGGCGACCGGTATAGGCGACAGAGGGCGAACGCGGATCCCATCCGCCTCCTCAGCCTTCTGGCGACGGTCATCTTCGGTCACTGGAGCACCGGTGGAAGTGGCCCCGGGTGCAGTGTACGTAGACGCGAAAGGCGACGTGGCGAACAGACTAGGCTGTGGCCAAGACCTCCATCCATCCCATGCCGGTGTCGGCCATTGAGGGGCGCTGTTACCAGCAGGCTTTGCCGGTGTCGGCTTAGACGACCTGGACATGTCGAGATCAGGTACGGGGAATGGGGGGAATGGGGGCTTGAACGTTCCCCAGAAGTGGTCAGGACCAGTGTTGATAGGCGGGGGGGACGGTGGAGCAGTCCACGCATTCCTAGGATGACGGGGTGCAAAGCGAGGTGCGCCGGGGACGTCACCCTCGTTTCTCTCGTTCGCGACCTCTGGCTCAGGGCTGGAAGGTACTACTAGCGGGCTGAGAGGGTTCCGGTCGGGGAGTTCCTCGGGTGTGTGGGCTCGCTCAGCCTGGGTACTCCAGGCGAACTCACTGTTCGCGCCCCAGCCAGCTGGGTCCTCTTGCGGACGCTGTGGCTGACGGTAGGGAGGAACATCTCTGCGCCTCCTTCCTGCGCCGAGAGCGGGTCCACCAGCAGCGTCACGTCCGTGATGCCACCTCCCGCCCCTCCCAGGCCTGCCGAAGGGAGGCTCATGATGATGCCCCGCACGGTGGAGCCATTCGCCCTGCCTGCCCATGCCCATACCAGAGCCAGGGCCCATGCCCATATTCATCCCGTAGGGCGTGTCGAACGGGAAAGGCGGGACAGGTCGGTCAGCGCCATAGAAAGGCCCGCGATGAGGCCGGGGAGGACGAAAATGTGGGCGGGGTCTATCCCACGTGCGGTCGGACTCGTCACCTGGTTGGGTAGGCTGCCAGGGCATGGTCCACCCTCTGCCGGGGGGAGGGTAAGGCGCTGGGTGGCCGGGGCGCGTGTGCCCTGGAGGAGGCGGGGGTGGAGTCCCACGCGGTGAGTGGGGGCCGAAAGGATCATGAGGGTGAGGCGGAGGGGGTGGTGGCGGTGGGTGAGGGAAGGATCCTGGCATCCCCGGAGCACGCGGGGGAGGGCCAGGCGGCGGCGGGCCCCTCGCCGGAGGAGGGCCAGGAGGTGGGGGTGGCGTAGGATACCCCGGAGGCGGCGGGGGTGGGGGCGGAGGCGGAGCAGGAGGACCGGGCGGAGGAGGGAAATTACGGATGTTGTTGCCGCACCAGTCCTCGGTGGTCCTCGTGGGGAAGAAGGATGCGATAGGCATGACCGGGATAGGCGGCAGAGGAGGAACAGGTGGGGGTGGGGGCATAGGCGGACGTACCCAAACCCCGCCTAGGCTAGGGTCGGGCATAAACCGCCTGAAACCGCCCCGCCGTCCACCGCGAAATGCACGGTAGGGAAATGGACCGCGAGGGCGGTTCATCCCAGGAAAGGGCTGCATCCACGGCCAGTCATCTTCGTCTGTGCTGTCGGGGTCGGGTGTGGCGTTGACACTGGTCGTTCCCCCGCCTTCCGCAGTGGCGGTGGCAAGAGCAGGGTTGGTGATACCATCCAAGCTGAGAGCGCCAAACAACCCAGCAAGAGCATCACCAAGCTTCTGCGCAGCCTGACTCACCCTCTGCGCGCTCTCTCCAAACTCGCCCGCCCTGGCTTCGTCAGCCGCGGCCTGCCAGTATTCAGCCTTGCGCGCGTTGCGCATGAGGTTGCGGAAGCCTTCTGAGAGCTCGGGGTGGGAGGAAAGCACGTCTGATACGCTGGAGAGGAGGATGGAGACGTCGTTTGCCAACGAGGGACGGGCAGGGCCGGGCTTGGAGGTAGGCGCCGATGGGAAAGTAGGTAGGGGAGGGTCGGGGAACTCCTGCGGCTCAGCGGCGGTCTCGACCTCGGCATCGGTGTCGGAAAGAACGATCACGCTCGACGCCGGCGAGGCGACGTCGATGAGCGGCTCGACATGGACAGGCGAGCCCACGAAGTAAGGATGCACAGGTGCGCTCATAAGCGGCGAATAAGGGGCATAGCGATCTTCGTCATCCGAGATATCCATAGCTTCCTCATCTTCGATGACAATGTTCTTCCTCTCTACTTCCGGTGAGACAGGCTCGACGGCACGGCCCTTGCCCTTGTCCACCTTGATCGTGCTCTCCGGCTCGTCCTTAACGCTCTCGTGGTCGTCTTCCGTCGCACCGGTGAGGAAATCGATGGACATTTTCTTCTCCTGCTCGTCCTTCGACTCGGTGCCATAAGCTTTCAGATCGGGCGCGAACACCTCGGGATCGCAAATGAGCCCGTAGTGGTCGGCAAACGGGTCGTACTCGTCGATCACCGCTGGCTTTTCCTCGGGAATAACGAGAACAGGGACAGGACCGGGCGAGGGAGGAGAGATGACCGCCTCAGTGCCATGCCATTCCTCTACCGACTTGGCTGTCCGAGCCCAGATGACATTGGCCTCGCAGGTCGCACCTGCAGTAAGGTCTTCCCAGCTATCAGAGCGAGTCGACAGCCTGTCGTGCTTGTCTGCTGTCTCCTCGACCGGAGCTTCAGTTATATCCTCCGTCTCGGGCAGCTCCTCCACAACCGGGGAGGTGACAGCTGCCGGTGGGGTGACGGTGGCTTCCACCGCCTGCGGCAGGGACATACCTTGGCGCCACATGCGAAGGTCGTCGAGAGTGAACTTGACACGTCCAACGTTAGACGCATAAACCTCCTGCAGTTCCTCTTCGGTATTCAACGTGATCTGTTCATTGTCAGCACATCGCACGTGCAGGCTTATCGCCCTGTTAGGCAGGAGATGACTCACGCAATCGCCATCAGCGTCGATATACCTCAGGCCGACATCCTCAGCAGGAATCAAGAACATATCCTGGACCTTGCGAGCGATGTCTGCAAACCCCGGCTGGGAGGGGAATACGAGACGGCGAGTGCGACCATGGACGAGGAGTTTGATGACGTACCCCTGTTCTTGGGAGTCTGCTGGTGATAGGGGCTGGGAAGCTGTGCCGAACCAGTCTGGGACAGGAAGCGGGGGAGGGTTAGAAGGCGGCATATCCGCTCTAAAGGATACTAAAGTTGACAGTAGTTGTTGTAATACTACTAGATGTTGATGAAGTGAAGCAGTAGAACGTTGAAAGGGGGAGTGGTGGGGGAGAAGAGAGAGCAGTGACTGGTGCCAAGGGGTTTATATACCAACGCTGCGGGCGACAACGCGCGGGGTGCGCAGGCAACGGAATCTCTTTGGACCAATAGCAATTGAGAACGGGTTTAGCGCACGGCCACGACCACTTTGGCTTTAGTATAGTTGATTATTATGATTATTATTTTACCTTTCATATTCATCCGGCTGAAGGATACGTGGCACTCGGCTTTAAATACGCAGTTAATAGTAGAGTTAACAGCCAGCGAGGTGAGTTTCTCGCACTTTCCTACCGCAGCTGTAACTACGCACAGTCGTAAGTGACATCAAGCCCTGTCATCCATCTTAACCAGTGCGCAGTCTCGCTTGCTAGTCATTGGCTGACGTAATGATCCCAGCCACCAAGTTACTGAATGGGAAGCGAGTGTAATCCCCGTTCCGCCTTCTCTTATCTCTTTCTGATCGTTGATCGGCGAACTGATCCTCTTGCCGGACTACAACTACAAACGAAGGATGAACAATGTCCTTGGCAAAGAGCGAGCGAATAAACCATTAAAGCGATCGAACATGGAAAAAAAAGAGCGTCACAGGACAGAGCAGAGCAGTGAAAACAACAAATACTCCAGAAGTCCATTACAGTCCCCTCTCCTTCCCACACACCAACACCAACACCCACCACAGCGAATACTCATATTCACAGCAAAGTCCAAATACCCCCAAGGGCAGCAAGAGCAAACCCTGCGAACCCAACACGGACGTCTTCTGCGCTGGACGTTGTCGCCCCCGAGCTGCCGGAAGGTGCTGCTCCTCCAGCGGTGGGAGTGCCCGTGCCGCTCCCACTAGCGGACAAAGAGGTCACAGCGTACGCGCCTGTCCCTCATCAGCGGACCATCCACCACTCCTTCCCACACGCCGTCACATGACGGGGAGGGAAGGGCATGCAAGATGTACTTACTGCCTTGGGGCTTGATCTCGAACACATCGCTAGAAGCCCAGATCTCGGTCGTGTTGATCGGATTGACGAAGATGATCTGGTAGCCTGTGCCGGCGTTGAGGGTGGGAGTGTAGAGCACTGAGCAGTCGTAGTTCGGTTCTGGGGGAGTGTTAGTGCAGGAACATAATGCATACACAAATGGGGTGAGGGAATGAGGAAATCGATGTGCAATGTGGGAAAGTAGGAAAGGGAGGAACACGCACGTTCAGCGATGATAGCCAACTCGTCTGTCAACAACTGCGTGTTAGGGTTGGTGATCATAACCGTCCAAGTCGTCTCAGTCGAAGGTGCGGTATTGCATGTCCAAGCGAGCTACGACATCCAGCATCATCAGCATTCGCCCCAGCATCAAGGAATGGGGACGTACGTTGCCGGCTTCTTTGGAGATCCACCAAATGCTGGACCTGGTTGGAGTTAGTTATAATACCCTTTTCGCTGCATCGTGAGGAGGTGGAGGATAGAGAGCACGTACGAAGGACTAGTGATAGTAAGCTGAGCGAAAACCGCGGCAGCCGTTGCAGAAAAGAACAAAACCTGGCGAGCGAACATAGTTGGGTTTTTACTGAGTACTGTTATGTACTGTAAATGGTCGATAAAGAGTGGTCGACGATGAAAGCTCCAAGGGGAGTGACAAGGGGAAGGGAAGGGAGAAGGAGTGACAGCGCTAAGCAGGAGAGATGCACAAGGTCACACCTGCAGGCTGGACCCGAACAGCAGGGCGTGGCATGTCCGTTCCTTTCCCTTCTCCCTTTCCTTTCCTTTCCTCACCGTCTCATTCTGAATGCCGAACCGCCGAACTGTCCATACACAAAACACATTCATGCCGAGTTTTCTTATTTTCCGCGTTTCACGGCTCTATATTTAATCTGCGTCTGGACTCCACTCTTCTCACACAACGGACCCTTGTCCATCACTCTCCTGCTTAGGAAAGGCTATCCAAAACGGCAGTTATCAGATGTATATGGGTATAACTGTATGATAAGATAGGAGTACAATGTCAATGTCCACTAAGAAACAAGGATAAATATCAGGAACTGCACTACATGAGCTTTCATCACACCAGCCGACAAAGGGGACACTCACAAAAACGATCAGCACTCCGAAGATCTTCAGCATCAGCCACCGATTGCTCGAGATACTCGTATAGTACTTGAGCAGCTCCCGCTGTGCTGCAGAGACGTTCGTAGCGATGTCCGTCGTATCCGCGTCGATCCGCTGTACAGTCTCGCCCTGCTCTGCGACCATCCGACTGAGCTGGACGAAGATCTGCCCAAGCTCGGCCATGGTGCTCTCAATGGACTCGATAGCCGTTGATCGCGATTGGATGTAGTTGTCCTAACGCGTCTCGAGTCAGGCCAGAACAGGAGGAGGGAGTGTAGCGCACCTGCTGCTCCAGTAACTGCATCTGCATGAAATCGCTCCCATGCCCTTCTTCTGCTGCGGCCATGTCCAAAGCCAAGACATCGCCGTTCGTTTCTCGTGCTTTGCCTTTAGATGGCATCCCATCTTGCTGCTGATTAAACAGTAGAGAATCTGTGCGTGTCGTCAGTAATGTCAGCAGATACGCAGATGAAGGCGCACTTTGGGGTGGAGGTTGGTTCGCAGCGGACGACGCGGAGTACATGAACTGCTCTGTCCGGTCCTTGCTCGCCTTCATATTCTGTCCACGCATCAGCACTCTCCTTCAACACACACATCCATACGCACTTGTGTCCTCGTCTCCAGCACCTCCGCAAACGTCTGGCTCGTATTCGCCAGTTTTGTCTGCAATAAGACGACCACATTGGAGTTGTGCTCCTCGATTTGCTTCCCTACGTTCTTCCCTGATGCGGTCCGTTGAGCCTTGACGTATGCTTGTAGTTGCGCGATCTGCTTGTTCAAGTGCGCTATGTCTTGTTTGATGATATATGTTAGTTCCTGGAATCGTGTGAGCGAGCAGGAATTCGTCGAGGAAGAGCGTACATACGCTAATCTCGACTGGTCGGTCGTCAAACAGGGTTTTCCGCTTAGCGACTTCCCGTCTATCAGTCCGATACCTTATCCTCAATAAAACACGTACGCTGGGCAAGTTTGTTCAACTTCAACGTCGTACTGCTAATATCATTCCCGATGCCCGCCGCCATCCTCGCAAACTCGCTCTTCTCCTTCCCTCTCCCATTCGCAAGTAATCGCTGTTTCTGCTCTGCCCGCGGCACGATAGCGCTCCTATTCCGGATAGACTCGACACATGCCCGGAACTCGTTCGTCCTGTCCTGGACGGGCATCTTGCACTCCGACAGGGTTTTGTTGTCGCGTTATTGGTGCACTGTTGAGGCGATTGTATGCTTCGTCTTCGTCGGGGTCCACGTCGTCTCCGGGGCTTGATGAATCCGCTCCCGCGCTGCGCTTGGCGACACCGCAGGGTAATTAGGCGTTAGGAACCGAGCACGCTATCCGTCATGAAAACTCCGATAGAATCAGTTATAACTGGTTTAGATAGACTGAAAAGAGACGACGAGGGAAGGAAGTGTCGACATGGGATACGAGAGAAAGGTAGAAAAACAATAGAAGGCGCATATATGATGCAAATTCCAGTGTTGTACGGAGATCGCCGTCAACCACGTCTCCCTCCCCAGACGCTGGATACCTTCCATCCCCACTCTGCTATATCTTCAGTGCTTCGTTAACCTAACTCCAACATCTTTCTCATCCTCTCTCTCATCACGCTCAGGTCCTTCAGCGTGCCCGTTATCTCAGCGAACGTACCAGAGATCATATTGGTGCACCAGAAACGATCCTGATAGTCGCCTCGTCGGTCTTGGCGGTGTTGGGACGGAAGGGGATTGGCCAGGTTCGGGGGGCTTGGGGGAAGAAGGAAGGCGGATAAAAGCGAGTAGTGTTGGCATTAATATTGTTCACGAGTAGTAATTTAATAGTGAAGAGCATTATTTACCATATTCAGATTAATATCCTTAAGAGGATCGGAATAAGTGAGCATGTGGCTATAAGAGTGACTGCGAACATCCGATCGGATGCAAAGAGCCTCTGCCAGTCACCCGAGACACCGCAATGCTACTTGTCCTTATTTAACCACCATCAGCAATCCAACTCATATGGCGAAGGCATTTTGGTATCTTCTGCCGCTTATAACCTCCTTATATCTACCGTGCCCTCATCGGCAATAGGCGACATGGACGTAACCAGAGCCAGCCTTCCAGCAGACCGCATTCCCCAGCCTGACTCTGCCTCGAAGAACTTCTCGTTCACCAAGCTTACCAACAATGTGTTGCACGACATCCCATCTGTCATATTGTGGTCCGATGTCAAGGCCGATTGGCTTGTCTTTATCACCAATGATGGGTCCGTTTATGCGGTGCACTGGTTGGAACAAATGTCTGCACAGAGGCCAAAGTTGAACATCATCAGCTAGCAACATTCTCCGAACAGAGAGGACGATTCCCTTCTCAGTGTTTTCGGTACTCCCCAGACATGGGTCACAGCAGCCGGAGGTATCTCAGTCGTTTTTCTCTGGAAACTCACGTGATCCACC